AGAATTTTAACATTTTTATTTATTTTTTCTTAGTTCTCGGCGGACACAACATCTTTGTTGGTATGTGGTGCTGCTGAGGATCGAACCCAGGCCGCACGCATGCTAGGCGAGCACGCTACCGCTTGAGCCACATCCCCGGCCCCATGTTATTGTTGTTTATTTATTTTTATGTGGTGCTGAGGATCGAACCCAGTGCTTTACCATGGGCAAGGCAAGCGTTCTACTGCTGAGCCCCAGCCCCAGCACCCATAATTAAGCATTACAAGCTTTCTTTTTAAAGTGTTGCCTTTATACTACCAGAAGTTGAGCCCTGTAAAGTCTGCCTTTCAAAAATTAATAAAAGTACAAAGGATAGATAGGCCTAGACAGCAGGTAGGAATCAAAACCCATATTTGTATTCAGCAATGTTTACATAGACCACCTATATACTGGGCAACTTATGCCACCAAAAAGAATAGCAGTCATGGTCAGTGAACTGAAAACTGAGAGCTGACAGTTATCTGGACTTCTTCTATAACAAAGCCATTGACTTCTCTGTCCAAGCCCAAGGACTGTGTATTCCCAAACAGCAAATAGCTTTCAGTATTATCACCCGTGAAAGCCTACAGCATGTTACATGCCAGAAAATAACCCAAAGAAATCACAGCTAAATCCAAAGAAGAAATTGTTGCTTTTTAGTTATATATTTGCTTATCCACCATACATGTAGGCAGCCCATCTAGGTTGAATTTAGCTTTAAAAATGGAACAACCATTGCTACCTGAAAAGAAAACATCTTTTACCCTGCTTGAAATTAGCTCACATACTATGTACCAAACTGCAAAACTTTGAGGTCAACTTCAGTATAATTTGTCCTTCTTTTGCCAACACCAAGACCAGTGTTCAGAGCTGATGAGAAAGGGAATGAGAGGTTAAAGAAAACATGTCTTACTAACCTTTCTCCCCTTTAACCTCCTAGTAGCCATCTTATTCTCTCGCCAGCACTGACTAGTTCTAAAAATATACCTAAATCTTTTATCTTGAAAGAATCTTGAGAACAGAGAAAAGGCATTTCCTTAATGTACACTCACCTTTTTCTGTAGGCATTTGTCTAGCTCAACGATAGATCCATTGGCTTGGTAGTTGGGTCTGCCTTGGTCAGGAGACCTTTCATTCATTTACTCATCCATTCACTTATTAAATATTTTGGAGTGCCTGATCACTCTCTCTGAGACTTAAAACTAAGCAGCAGTATCAAAGAGATGAAGAAGACATAAGTCTTGCATTTAAGGATCGGTGACCATCCTCAGCATCCCTTGACCCACATATTAAGTGAAGTCAGACCTCCAGGAAGTCACAAGGAGGTTCCAATCTCTCTGTCCTTCTTGACAAAGTCTTCTGCACCATATACAACTAAAGAAAACTCAGCAAAAAGAAAAAACAACCTGAAGAATAACCAATCCACTGTTAACTTTCAGTTCTGACTTTAAAAGCAATGTCTCACTTTGTGTCTTTCTCTATTGAGTGTATAGCAAAATCTTATCACTATTTGTCACTTTTATATCCTTTTCTACTACTCCATTTATGACACCTGTCACTCAGAGAAGGAACCACAATTTAGACAATGAATATATATCTGCTAAGTTTTGTAAAAGAGAATTTTTTTGTAAATTGAATCTTATTTAACAGAAGTGTGAGGTGGGATCTTTTGTTCCTATCCCCCTTTACTCCTAAAATCCCAAATTCCTCCATTTGTTAAACATGGATTACTATCTACCATAAAACCTCAGTTGAACCTGTCAAGTCATGGGCTATTCTGACTTTTTTTTTCCAAAGAAGATTGTAGACACACTGACAGACCATCAGAGTTGGAGATGACAGAGAAAAGGTTAGAAAACTGAAAAGTATATATGAAGTCAGTCTATTGTTATTAGAAATTTCATATGAACTTATTTTCTTACAACTTGGTTCTTTTTCCTAGGAGCTGAACACAGTAAATCTAGTTTTAGTTATCATGATTTTATTGAGTGACTTACCCTCATCACTGGTCTCCACAATTTCTGTACAGCTAGGAACATCAGTTAGTGACTCAGCCATACTAGGATCACTAAAAGAAAATACAGAGCAAGAGAAAGATCATTGTTTGATATCCAGGATCTGCTGTTGTTTCACCCTAGCCCTTATGCTTCAGTTAGATTCTGAAACTATTCAAAAAATGTACAAGTAGAATCACCATTAGGGAGAATTGGACTCTTAAAAACTCAATGATTCTGTTAATATGAAATGTCTAGAATTGACAAATGCATAGACATAGGAAATGTCTTATTTAGGGTTAGGGTGATGGGGCTTTTGGGGGTGACAGATTAAAAATCCCTACGATTTTCCTGGCCATTGTAATAAACATGGCAGCATCCCTACTTCCTGTCACTAAAGAAGACTTTTTAGATGTTGGGAAAATAAACTATCTCTGAGTTTTATGGAAGCCCATAGAAAAGGAGCCTGTAACCCAAACACCAGGTCATACTAGGCTGACCTTGCTCTTAACCCACCATGTTTGGTGTTAGAAGAAAAGAAAATAACCATTAAAGAGAAAACTCTGGAAGACAAAAGGCAAAACAAAGAGGGCATTGTGACAGCATCCAAACCCCTAGAGCACTAAGAGTTTAGATAGTCTGAAATTCTTTCTGGCATGCTTGCCTTATTTCCCCAACCAAATCCTAAAGGCCCTAAGGATAACACCACCATCATCCCCTCAGCTGGGACATGTGGAACTGTCTCCCCCCAACAAAACACACCAACCTCCCTGTGATTTCAATCTCTCTTCCTATTACCACAACAACTGTCTGCTTCTTTTTAAAGCAAAACTCAACAAAAGAGTTATCCATACTCACTGTATTAGGTCCTTACTTTCTATGCTCTTGATAACTCTCCATCCAACCAGGCTTCCAAAGCCAACCGCTTCCAAAACCCACCACTAAAACTGCTCTTGTTAAATTCAGCAGTTGCCTCACCTTCTGGAAGCTTCTGACTTTTCTTTTGGGCACTCCTCCTTTTTTGAATAATTTTATCACTTGCCTTTTGGAACATCATACTCCCCCAATTTTCTGCTTACCTTATTGGTTGTTCCTTCTCAGTCTCCTTTTCTGAATCTTGAGCCTCTCCCTGAGTTTGAAATGTTGTATCATCAAGGCTCTGTCCTTGGCCTTCTCTGTCATTTACAATCATTTCCTAGACCAGTCACATTAAATAGCAATGTCAACATTAGCATAATTACAAGCCATATATGTAATTTTAAATTTTCTAGTGACCACATTTTTAAAAGTAATGTTAATAATAATCAGGTGGGATCACATTTAATAATATATTTTATTTAGTCCAATATAACCAATATGTTATTTCTACATTAATGATGTATTCTAAATCCTTCTTTTCATACTAAGCTGCCACATCATTTGCATGAACCCCTTACTCAAACTCTTCCTTTCCCAGTCAGTGACTTGTCATTAAGCTCAGAGTAAAATCCCAGCCTCTTACCATGGGTCTTATGTGATCTGGCTCTATGTCCATTTCCCCACTGACCCACCAAGCCTGCTACTCTCCTACCTTGTCCCTGGGCTCCAATATACCAAGACTCTTTCAATCTCAGGATCTATTTTTTTTTAATTTGTTCTTTGAGTTATAAATATCAGGATCTTTACATTAGCTGCTCCCTTGCCTGGAGGGCTCTTTCCCAAGACAGGTATATGTAACATTCACACATTCAGTATTACTCCCCTTGGTGAGCACTTCCATCATCATCCTAGTTAGAGCACCCCCATTTCTCCATCCCATTGTCCTTTATCAATATCTTCACAGCACTTCTCACTACCTGAAATTATATCCCACATTTTTTAAATATTTATTTTTTAGTTTTAGGTGGATACAATATCTTTATTTTATTTTTATATGGTGCTGAGGATTGAACCCAGTGCCTCACACATGCTAGGTGAGCATTCTACCACTTGAGCTACAACCCCAGCGTAATTATATCCCATATAATAACTTATTTGCTAGTTTCTCATCTGTTTATATTACTAGAATATACACACCATGAAGTCAGGAGTTTTGTCTATTCCATTCACCACTGATTCTTCCATCACCTAGAATGGAAGTCACAGGATTTACTGGAGGATTTGACATACAATGTGAGGGGAATAGCAGACTCTATAAATATTTGTTGGATGAGTGCATAAATTCAATAAAAGAAAGAGAAGTAATCTAAGAGCTGCTTCTGTAGTCAGCAATAGAAATAGAGGCATGCTAGTTGAGACAGAGAAGGACTCATTCTGGTGGAGAAACTCTCTTGCTCTCAATTTAGCAGAACCTGCCCTCTTCTCCATCCAGGTGGGCCTCACCCTTCCCTGGGTGATTTGCCTGTGCAGAACATTCTTGGGTCCTTCTAATCCTTGATGCGTAAAGCATATTCCCAAGAGTCCCAGCCATATGAACCCTGGGTGTGGATCTTCATTCAGTTGGACTAGGCCAGGACACTCACAGAAGAGAAAGGGGTTTCTCTTCCTACTTAACAGCCACCATCCCTGACAGAAGTTCTTTCTTTTTGTTCTCAGGCTGACCTTACTAAATAGAACCTTGCTTCCTGATATGGTTTGGAACTAGACAGTCCTCCAAAGTCATATGTGCTTAAGGTTTGGTCCCCAATGCAGTTATATCCAGCAGTAGAGTCTTTGGAAGGTGATTGTATCATTCAGGCTCTGATCTCATCGTAGACTGATCCATTGATGGATTCATAGCTCAGTGGGTTTGATGGGAAAGGGCTTTGTTATAAAAGCGAATTTTCTCTTTGCTTCCTGTTCACCATGAATTCAGCAGCTTTCCTCTAGTATATGCTTCAACCATGATGTGCTACCTCAACACAGGCCTAAAAGTAACCAGACCAAATGACCACAGACTGAAACCTCTGAAACTGTGAGCCAAAATAAATCTTTCCTCCCTTAAGTTGATCTTTCTCCGGTATATTGTAACAGTAACACAAAGCTAACACACTTCCCAAGTACTTCCTCATAAAGGCCTATATTTCTCTTATGATTCTCATTGTGGCTAACATGAATTTAAAACAAAATTGCTCCTTAATTATACCAGTACTCATTAATTATGGCCTTGGGCCTGACTCATCTATATTTCTATTTATGATATCCAGCAAAAACTTTAGGCCCGCTATAATCTGGTGTTCCCTGAAGCCCTCTGGTCTCCTAGCAGCCCACCTTCACTCACATTGTCATGGTCTGGTCACCCAAAATCAGAATCATCGGTCATTCGTAAACATAGCACGTTCTTCTTTCTCCGTGATCTATACAGGCTGTCCACTTAGCCTGGAACACCATCCTTTTAATCCAACATCCTTGTAGTCATACACATTCTTTAAGACCCGGATCAAATGTTGCCACTTCTGCTCCAGGCTTTTTTTTTCCTTTCTTGTGGGTTCTTTTATTGTTGATACTATGATTCTTGTCTTATGAGGTTTTTTTTTTCTTTTTTCTTTTTTTTTGTGTGTAATCTTTTCATTCTTTTTAGATATACATGACAGTAGAGTGTATTTTGACATATTATACATACACAGAGTATAACTCATCCTAATTAAGATTCTATTCTTGTGGTTGAATATGACATGGAGTTATACTGGTCATGTATTCACATATGAACATAGGAAGGTTATGTCTGATTCTCTACTGTCTTTTGAATTCCCATCCCCTCCATTCCCTTCATTCTCCTTTGTCAATCCAATGAACTTCTATACTTCCCCTCCCTAGCCTCCCTTGTTGTGTCAGGGAGAACATTCAGCTTTTGTTCTTTTGGGATTGGCTTATTTCACTTAGCATGATAGTCTCCAGTTCCATCTATTTACTGGCAAATGCCATAATTTCATTCTTCTTTAAGGCTGAGTATTATTCCATTGTGTATATATCCACATTTTCTCTATCCAGTCATCTGCTGAAGAGTACCTAGGTTGGTTCCATAGCTTAGTTATTGTAAATTGAACTGCTATAAACATGGATGTGGGTGTGTCACTGTAGACTGCTGATTTTAAGTCCTTCAAGTATAAACAAGCAGTGGGATAGCTGGGTTAAATGGTGGTTCCATTCCAAGTTTTCTGAGGAATCTTCATACTTCTTTCCATAGTGGTTGCACCAATTTGCAGTCCCACCAGCAAATGTATGAGTTTCCCCTTTCCCCACATCCTTGACAACATTTATCATTACTTGTATTCTTGACAATTGTCATTCTGCCCATACTTTTGCCATAACTGATGTCACCTTGAGGACAGGGACCACATTTTGCTTATCTGAGTATCTCCAGTACCTAGCATGATACTAAGCACATAGAAAGTGCTCATTGCATGTATTAGTGAAAGGATGAATACAGGAGCAAGTAGGGAAGAGTATTAGTGTAGCAAATAGGAGGCAGGGAAAAAAGTGATCCCCTTGTTTGAACATATGGGGACACACTTTAAGTAAAAGGCTTCTTTGCATGAAATCCTATGAAAAAGCTGGTTAGACAAGTAAGGAAAGAAGATATACAAGTTTTTTCTTCCTTCAGTACATGATGAGAGACCTTCAGAGCCACTTCCAAGAGGCATAAGCAGTCATGTAATAATGATAATCAGGAAGGCTGTCCCAGCAGAGACATAAATTGCATATCAAGTCACAATTAAACTGCTTCTTAGCCTGAGGTTGTGGCTCAGTGGTAGAGCGCTTGCCTAGCATGTGTGAAGCACTGGGTTCAATCCTCAGCGCTGCATATAAATAAATAAATTTATAAAATAAAGGCCCATTAATAACTAAAAAATATTTTTAAAATAATGCTTCTCTAGGGCTGGGGTTGTGGCTCAGTGGTAGAGCTCTTACCTCGCATGTGTAAGGCACTGGGATCAACCTTCAGCACTACATAAAAATAAATCACCAAATAAATGCTTTGTGTCCATCTACAACTAAAAAAAAAATTTAAATGCTTATCTAGGCCAACCCCAAATGCTCAGGTTCCAAAGTTGCTCTTTCCTTTTTAGCTGTCTCACTTGAAAACTGGACAAAAGCTCTAGAAGTTTTTAAAAACGGGGGGGGGGGGACCGGCCTGTCTTCCAAGTCTTCCAAGGTTATTGAAATTGTTTAACCACAACCTGGTTTAGGTTAAAGGATTCAGAAGACTGTGCTTGACAGCTCTGCTGCCTTCCTAGAATGGAGAGTACTAATAGAAAGCAGCTGTCCTTGTGTTTTTTTTTAAACAATCTAATAGAATGAAACGATTTTCATACAGTTGGTGGTATATGGAATTTTAGGTTAGCCTCCAAGATTTTCACCCCCAGTAGGCATGAATGTGGGTGGACCTAACCTAATCAAGTGAGCCCTTTAAAAGGGATCTATGGGTCAAAGAGATTTAACCCTGAAGCCCAAGCTGTCTTGTTGGCCTTGAAGGGACAAACTGTCAGGTTGTGGAGAGCCACCTGGCAGGCAGCCACTAGTATATGAGAGTAACCATCAGTTGAACTGCCACCAAGAAACCAAGGACCTTGGTGCTTCGGTCTAATTTTGAAAAGAAGGAATTCTGCCAATAACTAGTTTGGAAGATGACCTTGAACCTCAGATAAGACTTCAGCCCTGGCTGACATACTGACTGCAGTCTGATGAGACCCTGAGCAGAGGACCCAGTTAAATCACACCTAGACTCTTGACTGGTGGAAGCTGAGATAATAAATTTGTGTTATTGCAAGAAACTAAATCCTTTATCACTTGTTATACAGCAAGAGAAAACTGAGAGTCCTACAAGTCCCAGCTGTAATTAAGAAAGAAGCCAAAAGTGGGGTAGCTTTGGAGTTATGTAAGCTGCAATATGGAACTGTGTACTCCATGATGGGTCATTTTTACCCTATTACAAAATTCTTTTTTGATGCAGGGTACCAGGGATTGAACCCAGGAACGCTTAACCAAGAAGCCACCTCCGAACTCCCCGTTTTTATGTTGAAACAGGGTCCCTCTAAAATGCTTAGGGATTTTCTAAATTTCTTAGGCTGGCTTTGAATTAGGGATCCTCCTGCCTCAGCCTCCTGAGCTACTACAAACACTTCTTTATGAAGAATATATGTTGCCATACTTTTCGGTGAGTTGTCAGCTGGACAGATGAGACCCTGCCACCACGTTAGAACATGTGAAAAGCCCTGAAAAGGCTCACCTTGTCTGAGATAGATTTTCCTGCCCTCAAAAGAATGTCTTAAATCCATTTCAAACTATGATTATACTCCATGCCTTTAACAAGGGGTGCATCTGCCAAGCAGCAGATGAAGAGCCCTGGAGTTGATAATAAGTGGAGACAATTATCTTTTTCCTTGAAACTACTCAGCTAGCTCTACAGGAAGGGTCTGATGTCAGGACACCAATTTATTGAGGAATCTGGGATCCTCCTGGAATGAAAATACCAAAAGAGGGCTTATATAACCACTAATTGTTGACTCAGCTAACCTCTAGTGGAGAGGAGTCTATGATCATACCTCTTTCCTCTTTTCCTTGCATGAGGTTGGCAGGAGGGCACCAGAGGTTCAGCCAGACCTTGAAATGCAGCCCTTGGACTCTATAACAAGGAGAGCTGTTCTTCAGAGCACACAATGAGCTCTAGAAGTTCCACTCCAGGAACCCACCAATAACCAGGATGGCTCCATTGTGAACAGTGACCCCACTGTTTTACAGAGTTCATTTGGTTGGGTAGGGTTTTCATATCAAGTTCCATTCAAGATACAACTATTTCCATGCAAAAATCAAGGCTTTGTGAGGGAGTAGGCATGATCGGCATTTTCTCAGCAGGGACCAAGAACAGCAGCCCTCTCAGTAGGCTCAAGGCCAAGTAGTTAGCTTTCAGTTTCTGTTTGATTATGTCCCTGAAAGCAGTTGTGAGTGATCTCAAAGAGTATAGGTCTCTAGGGCAGTAACTTGAGGGGGGGTGGGTCAAATAAATGGCAGATAAAAGTTAGCAAAGCTTGTTAGAATAAATTCATCTGGTCTCATCTCAAGTTGATGAGGGTCTAAGGCTGTCTTCGGTGATTAACCTATGCTCTCCTGGTTGAAGGAGAGATGGGATACCATTTCTCTTTGTAAAT